CGCGAGTGACGCGAAATGTCACGTGAACTAGCAAATCCACAAAGATAGAATAATAAATAAATAAAAATACGTACGCTAATTAGATGGTTTTAATTTGGAAAGCTTTTAGATATGTCTAAGTCAAAGTGTCATCAAAAATTTAAGACCTTTCATAAGTAAAAATAAGACTTTTTAAGACTTTTTATGGCCTTAAATTTTAAAAATCTAATTTAAGACTTTTTTAGACTTTTTAAGGATCCGCGGGAACCCTGTCACAAGATAATGTGTTAAGCCATCTATGGAAAACAGCTAAACGCCCCCAAGCAAATGCATTAAAGGCTTCAAATTTCATCATTCAGTTCACCTGCGCGTTAGGAAGATGGCACGATACACCGGTGTAGAAGCTCTTCAGCTCGTCCTGGATACTAGCGACGAAGAATCCACATTTTCATCAGAAGAAGAGCGCGACTCTGATGACGACCGTTTGATCGAGCCGTGGATAGAATTTCGTATGAGTAAGTATTTAGTCTTACTTCCATTAGTTGACAAGCTATTCAATATAAACATGTAGCTTACATATTATACTGGGTGGACTATTTTCCACTTGCCATCCAGAGTATTGACATTTGATATATTCAACACGATCCAATTAAAGTGCATATCTATACCATGAATTTAATATCTCGTGTTAAAGAGAATTTTTTTTTTTTTTTTGTGCATTTGCTATGCACTGTAAACCCCAGTTAGGAAATTTGTATGTGTAAATGATATGTTTAGATCATTGTGTATGAAAGCTAGAATGTAGAAGTTATTTTAGAAAATAGTCCTACTAGATGTTTAGATTATATTTTGACTAGTTTAAATGCTGCCTCATTATTATCATTGACGATGCATGCTCGCAAATATCAGTTGTAAATGTGTGTAAATGTGCTGAAATGTGTATACCCAGTTAATGAATTGCGCAAATGTGTTTTGTTTGTGGTGTGCTTCTCCGGCAATGGCCCATTGACACGCATATTTATTGCACTCGCCTAAAATTATTTACATCAGTTATTCATTATAGACTAATGCTGCTATGGTTATATTTATGTAATAATATTCCTCAACTTAAAAAAAAAAAAAAGGAATGTAGCTTCATCACTACCTCCAGTGGCGTCATGCCCATTCAAAGTGAGGGGGCACGTGCCCCCTCAGATTTTTCCTCCCTAGGGTGACCAGAAGTCCCGAAAAATTCGGGACAGTCCCGAAATCTAAGCTGTTGTCCCGAATCCCGAAACCGGCCTTAATTGTCCCGAAAATTATACTAAAGCAAAATCTTGATATAAAATATTAAAAACTGTCCGTGGAAGTTGAGTCGTCCTGCAGCCAGCCTCTTCCAATTGCAGCAGCCGCAGCCGCGAGGACAGTGAATGTGCAGGCAGCCAGTCTAAACTTTAGTTTTTTTACGCGCGTCATTTGCTCTTGACGCGCGAATGGATTCAAAGTGTTCACGCGTAGGCTATAACTAGACGCGGTAGGCGCGAATTTGACGCGCTATTCGCGTGTGGTGTGAACGCAGCATTAAAGGAGTGATTGATTTGTCGCGTCACTGTGTGCAAAAAAAAACTTCGTCCGGGCCTTATAATGTCTGATGTCGGGTTAGGCCTACACAAAGCAAATCATCTACAAAATTATTTAGTTTTCCTATTTAATGACCGACAATTTAGTTGTAATAATAATTTTGCCATACGGCTTATTAGCGTTATGGTGTGTTCACACCGAACGCGAATAGAGCGTCAAATACGCGTCTATCGCGTTTAGTTAGACGCTTGAACATTCGCTCGAGTTCAAATTTTTCAACTTGCGCGGAAGACATTCGCGGCAAACGCGTCGCCCAATTCGCGTCATTCGCAACGCCCGGCGCGAATGATGCGTCTATTCGCGTCTTTGCATTGACTTTGTATGTAATCTACTCGCGCAAATAATTAAATTCGCGTTCGGTGTGAACACACCATTAGGCTATAGCCTGAAAGGTCTGGTTTAGCCTACACACTGTTACAACAGTAACACATTTTTTTTTCACAATGACATTTGAGTTCATGATTTTAATGTTTTTTTTTTTTTTTGGCAGACTAAAGACTAATGACAGACTTTGATCTTTGAATTAAAAAATATGTTTGGTTCAGGTTTGAAATTCATTATCTTTTAATGTAGTCTAATATCATAGTAGGACTACCCCCCAAATCCCTACAGCATAGTTGTTATACAGATCGCTATACATATTGCATTTGATTTGATTACTTTTCTACATTTCTGTCAAATATTAACCATTTTCAAATAAACGGGGTAGTGTTAACCTTATTCAGCACTGAAATCTGTCAAACTTCTTTCAAAGTCCTTCATCACATATTAATATTAAAATAACTTAATTTCAGAGCACCACAAAGTCAGACCTCAGCACCTTTATGTAGGCTACCTTTAATGTAAGATCGTTCTTAGGTCACATACCAATTTAAAATCATAACATAAAAACTGCAATGGTACTGTTTTTAAAATCATGTGTAGTAGGCCTAAGTGTACAGTAAGTGTGTGTGTAAACATGCTTTAATGAAGTAGACTTCAAAAGCTTTTGAATTTGAGCTTATAGTTCTTTCATCAACCTGTCTTTTACATAAACTTACAAAATAGATACTTTAACTTAGTCCTCAGAATCAGATAGAGGAGTGTTGCTGCTAGCTCCGTTAAGGTATTTCTGTCCCTCCCAAACTGCATTGAAATGGTATGTTTAGCAGCCAGAATTTAACAATTTTCAGGGGGAGAAACCCCCTGACCCCTCCTAACATGATCCATATCACCCGTCAGAAAACAATTGCAACGTCTCAGATTGTGCCCCCCCAGAATTTTGGCTTGCATGACGCCCCTGACTACCTCCGCCTGCAACTCGGAGTGCGCTTAGCAACACAGTCAGAAATCAGAAAGAGTAAGTCAAATTTACCTACAATTTTACAGATGTTAGTTCAATTTTGTTTATACATAGTGTTAATACAATATGAGCCTGTATGACTTCACAATTGCTTTGTTTATAGCCGACTGATTATTTATTTATTTTACTCACATTTGATTTGCTTAGAGCAAATTTAGAACATTTAGTTTCTCCATATAGAGGAATTACAATAAAACAGATTGAAAAACCTTTGAATCTCCTCTCATTCTTTGTTCAGGCTGCCTCACTTGATGGGCCATTAGCCATTGGGGGGAGCGTCTGTCACACCCCTGGTCTGAATCTCATTAATATTGATAGGCCATTACCACCCCCTCGCATAAACCTCTTCTGACAAAAAAACTGTCATACAAAGTATGAATTCATGTTTTGCTTTATGTGAACAAATAGGCAGGATGATTTTCACATCATTTTAAAGCCAGAACTCGAAGCAACAACATCCATTAGTCAAAAGTCTTGTGGACACATATTTAGTATGTGTTTTGTGGTCTTATTTCAGCAACTTTCTTTTTTTTTTTTTTTTATAACCACGCATAAACATTATTCTCTTAAAAATACAAACATGTACATACATGTTGCTCACATATCATGGTAGCCCCGTTTGTGCTATATAGAGTGAATTTATACCTTTACCATTAACATGTTTATAAATAACTGAAAAAAGCACAAATGTCAGTGCATGTCAAAACATCCCAAAGGCCCCAAAAACACGCTGGTCCCCAGAGGGTTAACAATGTCTTTACTCCCTTTCTGGGCCTTGAAAGTGGTCGTTGAGTTGCTGTCTATGGAGGGGACAGAAAGCTCTCTGATTTCATCAAAAATATCTTCATTTGTGTTCCGAAGATGAACGAAGGTCTTACTGGTTTGGAACGACATTAATGACAGAAATTAATTTTTTTAGGTGAACTAACCCTTTAACAAATATACAAACTACTTAATGGGGCAATGGATGTAGATTCAGTGCAGTTTGCTATATCATACTTGGCAAAAATAAACTTAATGTTTAAAGTGCACTAATAAGACATGTGTTTAGGATATTAAGGTTCTCTTCAGACCAGGAGAAGGCAGCAGGTTGCTCAACATGGGTGTGAATCAATCACATCATGGATAAATGTTGTCATAGCAACCACAAATTCCCTACGGTTGACCATATGTACAATGCAGTGCAATGAAAACATCAACACAACCTTTGACCTCCCTTGGGCTGTTTGAAAATGTGTTGGTCTTAGGTCAAAAAGGGTCCAGCTTTATCTACCACTTGGATCATTCACGTACATTTTAAAAAATGAGATCTATTATGTTTTTATTTGAAGACTTATTGTGTGTATATATATCTATAAGTTTGGGGTTGGCAAGATTTTTGACTGGTTTTGAAAAAAAAAGCTCATCAAGGCTGCATTTATTTGATCAAAAATACAGTAAAACCAGTACTATTATCAAAAATATTACAATTTAAATGAACCGTTTTCTATTTTAATATATTTTATATAATGTAATTTTTTCCTGTGCTATATTCAGCATCATTACCCCAGTCTTCAGTGTCACATGATCCTTCAGAAATCATTCTAAAATGCTGGTTTAATGCTAAAGAAACATTTCTTATTATTATCAATGATTAACAAAAAAAACCCTGAAAATAATCTTTTGTAACACTACAAATGTCTTTACTGTCACTTTTGATCAAAATAGTGCATCCTTGCTGACAAAAATAATGAATTAATAATAAATTAAGCAAAAATATTCAGAAATATAACTTAAAAATCTTCAATTTAACCTTAGCATTATGAGGATTGACCCGATTGTTATGAGAATAATCTGATTTATATTTAATATGCTGGTTAATATGCAGGACTGTGTCTTCTGGTGTGTTCTGCTTGATTTTGAAACTATTATGAGTGAGAGTTTTGCTCAAGGACAAGCTGAAGAAAAACCTGCAATGTCGTAGCATTCACATGCTACTACGTCACTACAGAGCATGGGCCAGTCCCTTTTCTGCTGACACAGTGAGTGTGGATGAGTGTACAGTATGGAGCTTGCTTACCGGGTGGTGGTATAAGGGGGGGTGTGGTGTTGATGGAGGGAGGAGGGAAAGGTGGAGGTGGGATGTTTGGAGGAAAGAAGGGCAACTGCTTTGGGGAGGATGGCTTTGTGTCCGAGGATTGCTCTGAAACGACCTGAAATACACACATATCACACAGATATATGAGATCAGTGCTCTTTATGTCCATCAAGCACGCAAAAACACACCTGGATGTTATTTTCATCAGCGCTGTGACGTCTTCGGCCTTCCACTCGACTGATGGTCCCTGCATGTCCTCCGATAACATTGATCGAACCGCTCGACTTCCTGTTCACACCCACACACATAAATCAAAGTCAGATCATTATGTTGAGTCCATATGTGTGAGTGAGGAGGATTAAATGGCTTGCAGTGTGCAGTGCACATTTTATGAACACAAAAGATCCTGGCACTTTTTTTTTGTTCTAGAACACTTAGCACGCAGAGAAACACATGCGACCTCAGTCAACGCTATTTTCCAGCTGATCTGGGAAATCGCCTCTCATGTGCACGACAATATTTTTAGCTCATGTACACACAGCAGTTACACACTTGGGTGAATGTGCGCCGTGGTAGTCATCACCATTCATAAATCTTCAAGTCCCCTGAAACGTGGCTACAAATATCTTCAGTAATGCACAAATGAACAAGGCAATAACCTATTTCAGTCACTAAAAATTCATCAAATACAACAGAGCACATTAATACTGCATTGAACATTATGCATGCAGCAAGAAAGTAAGCGTTCAAGCGTCCAAGTAAAGGGCAGCCTGTCTGCAAAAGTCTCTGTCATTGTTCATGTTCTGATGGTGAAGTTTAGGACAGTCTCAACTACAGAAAAAAAAACAAAAAGCCTGAAAATGACTCACTTCTGGTGTGTCACCTACTTTCAGCAGACACGACAGTGGATTTAAGTGCTACCCTCTCATGATTTTATAAAAAAAGGGACATTAAAAATTCAGTCTGCAGTCTGCTCTCATCACATGCTCTGTGTATTTTGAATCACTGTACGTCATGCAGTAAACATTTTGCAGAGATTTCTCTATTTAAAGTTAGTACCCCAGAGTGCAGTCTGGACGATGGGGCGGGGCGACACTTTTAGGTGGGGCGACACGTGTCGCTCCGCCCACACCCAATTTAATTGGTTTATAATACCGCAATCTTATTGGTGTAAACGATTCAGTTCTGAGCATGCGCATTCCTTTATGTACGATTTTGTGAATGATTTGGCCGTATCAAATAAATATTAAATGCTAACTTTAATCTTATCTTATTATCAGTTTACCATGGTAATTTTTGTTAATATCTATTGGCTAATACTTTATTATACTTAAGACACAGTATAGATTAAGTTATTGTTTAAAAACGAACGCTTGGTGACGTTACTTGTACTTCAGGGAGATGTTTTACATTAGATTAGTGCGTCATTCACTTGGCTTCTTCATATTTCTATCAGGATCGGTGGATCAGCACAAACTCGGGATTTTACGCAAATGATGATAATTGACTGAATGTAAGCAGCTGATTTTAAATTCTAATGCATGACCGTTTTTTGTTGTCATTTTTTTAACGAGATTGTCCAATGCTTGCATTATTTGGTACAAAGTGCAAATAAAATGTTTAATGGCAATCACGTTTCCTGGTTGATTTCATACAATACAAGGGGCTATTGGTTCTGTAAAGCCCTATGTTATATTTTTTAAAGATTCATGTTTTCTAATAAGTGTCAACCGGTTATGTACGACTTAAAAATCCAATTGTTTATTCATCCATCGCATTGCGTGTTCATGTTCATGTCTACTGGATAAAAATGGTTACAAATATTAACACTCACATATAGGCTAGCTGCATAACCATAAAAAAACACACTGCTATAAATCTGTGCAATTATAATAGGCTGTAATAAAATAAATAAAGTGATATGAACATGTAGGCCAATTGCTTAAATACGCTCTTGAGCACATAGCCTACATTATAATATTTGCTATAGATCAACATAACATCTGTTTTAGTAAAAACAAAAACAAAATTTTTTTTACATTTATTTTCACATTGCAGCGCTGCACGGGTTTTATTCCCATTGTACGCACATAACCCAATGGCCAGGGCTTGCTATTTGGTAGCCTGTCTTATTTGTCACCGTGGTTTTGCTTTAAAATAAAATAAAACACACTTTCGGATTTATCCTTTGTTTTACTAAAATGCTGGGAATTATCATAATTTGTGTAAAATCCCGAGTTTGTGTTTATTCACTGATCCTAATGGAAAAACGAAGAAGCATAAACGAATGATGTAAAATTAAGGAGCTCTGCATGACACGCGGAAAAATATTGTCTAAATCAGCCCACATAGAAATGATCTCTCCTTTGATCTGCCAGTAATTTCATGCAGTCATGCTCATTGCCCACCAAAAGTGGCACGGACTTATCTGCAGGGAAAATTAATATAGTAGCCTATAGCTAGGCTAAATCTCAAACAGTGTATTATTTATCAGAAACATATTTTGTGATATCGCCAAGCCATAAAACTGCTCAATATTAAAGCTTACAATATGACTGTATGTAAAGCTGCTTTGAAACGATGTGAATTGTGAATACATTTTGACAGTAACTTCATCTAACTTGATTCGTAAGTTCATCAAAAGATCGTTACTGAAATCACAATGGTTATCACTTAATATAGTACGGCCAAACAGCGTCATAGATAATTCATAAACTCGTACATAAAGGAATGCGCATGCTCGTGCCTCAAGCGTCTATGCCAATAAGATTGCTGTATTCTAAACCAATAAAATCGGGTGTGGGCGGAGCGACACGTGTCGCCCCACCTAAAAGTGTCGCCCCGCCCCATCGTCCAGACTGCACTCTGGGGCTACTCATTTAAAGTGACCGTTCACCCAAAAATGCAAGTTCTTTCATAATTTCTTCACACAAAAGAATATTTTTTTGTCAAATGCTGGTAACCAAACATTTAGACATTTCTCAAAATAACTGTTTTTTAATGTTCCACAGAAGAAAGAAAATCATACAGGTTTGGAATGACATGAGGGTGAGTAAATAATGACAGAATATAAATGTTTTGATGAACTATCCCTTTAAAGCTGCGAAAAGGAAGAAGCAACATATTTTTTGTGACGTACATCGTGATTGGATTATGAGATACGGGCGTTGCATTCAAAAATGGAGGCAGAGAAAAACAAGATTGCAGGGACAGGGTTTTAGCGGATTAAATGATTGGAGAAGTCCTGCATATGTCACCAGAGAGAAGACTTACTGGAAGATCCAGATATGACATTTTGATTAAACATTTTTTAAACATGCTTTTAGAAAATAGATTTAAATATTCTTCCTAATTTCTTTGTGGAACTTCCACTTTTCCAATCTTCATTTATTCTGTTTTTTCCTTATTTACTTTTGCACCCGAACCTCGACAATATTTATCAAACATTCCCATAGCTTTTTCAACACTATTGGAATCTTTTAAAAACAAAGTGGTATCATCCGCATACTGGAATTGCCTTCTTTTAAAATGCCTTTTATTTCTTTTTCTCCTATTATCGCTAAACCCAACGGTTCAGCAACTAATGTGTATAGTAAAGCCGACCAAGGGGCATCCTTGCCTTATGGATCTAGAGATTTCTACGTAATCTGTTAAAAAACTATTTATTTTAAGACTAAAATAATTTTAAAACTAAAAATATCTGTGTAAAAACATTTCATCCACTTTATGAAATTATTCCCAAAACCAAATCGCTTAATCAAATCAAATAAATATTTATGTTCCACCCTATCGAATGCCTTTTCTAGATCTATACTGAATAAAAAACCATAGAAATTCATATCTCATTCATAAAGTAAGCAGTCAAGCTATACCTGAATATGCACATGAACTCAAATTACCTTTTTTTTTTGTGCAAAAATACTGCATTATAATGTAGCTGAACAAGATCGAATAACAATCTTTGTTAAGGCCCGTTCGATTCCGAAAATGCCACCTCATGCTCTGTGTTTAAACGGGCGTACTGTGACTGACTCCTGCATCCTGTCTGTGCGTGTATGTGTAATAATGAAAGCCGGACTGTTGCTTTACCCTTGAATGCTCCAGTTCATACACGTCCCCCTGAGCAAGGCATAACCTTCAACTGATCGAAGAGAAGTTCAAGGAACGGCTGATTAAAAATCACCCCCGTTAACTCCTGCCCAGGACCAAAGGCAGTCTGGACCACCAGGACTGAACCATGGTGTGTGTGTATTTGTGTTGTGTCTCATAGAGAAGTAATAGTGAAATATTAGGAGGTTTCAACAGTCGGGATGTTTTCTTCAGGGGAGAACAGAAAACAAGAGCTGATAGAAATCAAGAGCTAAAAGAAGAAAAAAAAAGAAAGAATTAAAACTGGCGTAAACAGGGATGATAACGTGCGTATGGAGCGTTTAAGACAACAGCAGAAAGCCATTATCACGAAATGCTGCTGTTACAGGAAATAAGAGTCCTATACTGTCCAAACAATTCAACTGCACATGATGTTTCAAGAACAAAAATACAGAAAACGCAGGCAGAAATTACATTAACTATAGTAATGCTACTCCCTCTTCATTAGAGATTCTTGATACAATTTGTTTTACACTGTATGCAAAGGCTGACTGGCCTTCTCTTACGTGTTGTAAGCTGTTCCATAGGTGCACCTCTCTACTTCAGGGAAAATACTTCAAAATACCTGTAAATGGTTTTAGGACTCAAGCCAAAGACATTTTAAACCAAAATGGTGGCTATTGTCAGTGTTTTAAAGGGACAGTTCACCAGAAAAATTAACAATCTGTTATCATTGACCCACATCTTGTTCCAAGAAAGAAAGGGTCTGAAATGTGTGTATGGGTTGGTCTGATTGGTTAATACTGATACATTTGATTTAGGGTTCATGTACACACCTGGATGAGTATTCAGGCAGATCACTAGAACTCTGATGCACCTGGAAAGAGAGAGAGAGAGAGAGAGAGAGAGAGAGAGAGAGAGAGAGAGAGAGAGAGAGAGAGAGAGAGAGAGAGAGAGAGAGAGAGAGAGAGAGAGAGAGAGAGAGAGAGAGAGAGAGAGAGAGAGAGAGAGAGAGAGAGAGAGAGAGAGAGAGAGAGAGAGAGAGAGAGAGCACATTCATATGAATACACACATATTCTGTGTAGACAAGTGATCTAAAACGTCTTGGGCCATCTAAAGTGGGAGCATTTTAAATCACCATATGTGCTTCCAAAGTAAAATGTGTTCTAAAAGGTATAAATCCAGTAAGTTGCCTCCTAAGATACCTTGTTTTATCCAAATTCTAAGGTAGCTACACATGTGAAGGCAGTCCCAGAATACACTGCAACAAGCTCAATGGAAAAAATTAAAAAATTAAATCTGGCAGACAAGGCAATAGAGTGGTGCAGGTATGACATTACTTTGTAGGCCAAAACGCGGAAACAAGTTAGCATTTTAGCACGTCCGGTTCCATAGTCCAGAAGTCAATGGGTTTTTTGAATGGGGTTTTGGTCAAATGGCTGAAATAAAGTCTGTGGTGACCACAAGCTCAAGACACTTTCATATTTTATTCTACGACATAAAATACATCAGCCTTACCCCACTTGTGGGTTTTTTTCTTTAGCTGTTGCTTGCTAGCTGTTGCTTAAAAAAGGCGGTTGCTAAATGGGACTACAGAGGCTGTCGGGGACATTAAACGTCATCACCCCGAACAGGTACTCAGTTCGCTTTTACAGCCTCATTATGCTCATAATTGTGCTCTTATAAACTATTATAACTCAGACTTGGAAAATGTTTTTAGATAAAAACTGAAAGAGTTGTTCATCTGTGAAAATGATCTTGATGGACAAAACTTTTGTTGTTCACAGAGCTTGTTTTTGTGATAATCCAAAAGCCTACGGAAAAATCCTATTGGGTTTTTGTCGAGGGAACCAGTGTGATGCTAACTGCCGGTTGGCCTCCAAAGTGACGTCATACCTTCACCACTCTATATGTTGCATTTTTAAGGTATACAGTTCCTGCATTCCCAGGGAATCGAACCCATGAACTTAGCATTTCTAGAGCCATGCTGATATTCTACTGTTTAAGCTACATGAATATAAAATTATATAAAATTATGATTAAAAAATACATTTCATTATGTGTCGCCCAATATTTGTGTCTGCTATGTATTTGTATGCTTACGAGAGCTTATTATTGTGCTGTTAGCTTAGCAACATGCTATCACTAAACTATTGGAATTAACTGAAAGTCGAGTATACTGCATAAAGGACTGTTAGTGCATTCAAGTCACCTTGGAAAGATTGTATTTACGAGTTGAGTGCACATAAACATATTTTGTAGAAGTAGCATATTTTTTGTAAAATAGGTACATCGGCACCTTGCTCCAACTAAAGTGATCTGAACGCACTTGACACCAAAATAACGACTTCCCAACTCAATGTAGAGCGCCCCGAATCAGTCATTTATGAGCTTTTATGACAGTTAGGATGCTCCCTTAGAAGGTCGCTGTCTATGTAGGCAGCGACCTATTTTAGCAAGGTATTTCACTAGGCTTTGGAACAGAGCTAGCAAGTCTGAAACAGCAGTAAATGCCCGGTCACAACTCATAATCAACATTCTAGTATAAAACATCATGAGAGAAGTGAGGGCATATTTTAGATATGCTAAATGTACCATGATTTTGCTGGATGATGACAGGCTCAGGATCTCTAGGCTCATGCGTAATCGTCTTTGTTTGTCACAGTATGCCTTCCAGGTGTCCTCATTAAAACCATAGTTAAAGTAGTCAGACAGATCCGCACCTGCGTTTATACACAACATGCACTGTGAGAGTTTGTACTAGAGAAAACGTACATTTGAATCTGAGGTACACCACACACTTTACAAGTCTTAACGCAATCAACTGCACCTGGTTTCCTCCATGGCTTCTCCTCAAAGGACTCCACATCCACCTGCAGGACACTGCCTTCAGCATCCAGATCCAGCCCTCTAGACTTGGAGCCTGACTCACAGTAGATAAGACTTTAGAGGCTGGATTCCCACATAGAGATCAAACCAAACCCAGAGAAATTTCCTAAAGGGATCCTTATAATAATATAAGAAGTGTAATTTTTATTATCATTTGATCAAATAAATGGTCAATGAAAGGATGCCAACCTCAGGTCGTCAAATTAAAACACAATTAGATGAGCTCTGAGCTGTATTGTTTCCTATTCATTGATAAAAAAAATATTTTCTATAAATTAAAGAAAAATCATTTTAGATAAATTTTTTTCCCTTTACAAAAACTCGGGGTGGAATACACTCAACACTGCAATATTTGTAAAAACAGAGAAATTTCTTTTTTTTTTGTACTTGTTTGCAATAGGTCCAAATTATCTAATGGGGAAAATAATGCAGTAATGGGTTTGCACAAATTTTTGGGGGGCACATTATGTGTTTGGTAATTAAAATGTTCTAATATTTTAAAATAGTATATGAGTTAAATATCAAATCAACAGATTAATTACCTGCACTTTATTACCTGATACAGAGGACTTTATGTTCAGATTGATGGAACTGGAACCAAATGACCTACAGAGTAAACCACAAAGAGAAAATTAAGTATCATTATAGCAATTTATTAGACCCAAAATGCCATAAGACATCATACGTATCTCTGTATGACATGAGAAGGCTTGACAATGTCAAAACCTCTGACTGAATTACTCACGAGCCCTGAGATCCGCCTGTTTTTATGTCACCGATGGTCACACAGACATCATCATCATCACTGTCTGATTCACTCTGCTTTGAGGGGGAAAAACAAAACGGATGTGTTTGTAAAGTTAAATTAATGCCCTACATTATCATGACAAAAATTCAATAAATAAAAAGTTTAAAACTAAAACAAGAACCTGGTAGCTGAGTCTATTCACACCATCCACATCACCAATCAGAGCACTGCAGAAGTAAGACATATTTTATAACCAATTAGATTATACAATAATGCAAATGTATTGAATGATAAAAAAAAGAGAGAGATTTAGTTACATTTTCAAACTAGGGAAAAATATGGCTTAAATTTAAATAACTGACAGTGTGGGAAAGCAATTCATACACAAGTGGTTTGAAGCAAATTAAAACATTTTTAATTACATTTTTATTATATATATATACACACACACACACACACACGTGTATTAATCCCGTATTCTTAATTGAAGTGTCGGTCAGGGGTGCGTTTCCCGAAAGCATCGTTAGCCAACTATGGTCGCAAGTTCCGTCGTTACCAATAGAGTTCAATGGGATTTGCGACCAACTTGCGACCATAGTTGGCTAACGATGCTTTCGGGAAAACGCACCCCTGGTCAGGTGTGTGTTCTATGGGAGAAACTTCATTTTCCTTCAGATGCACAGACTTCCTTTCAGCGTCATCTGCCTGTCTGATTTAATCACATGCACTAATTGAAGCTACAGAAACAATAAAAATGCTTTTACACTAAGCAAAAATGGGCAATGAGCAGGATCAATTTACAAGCACATCTTTAGCTGCAGGCCTACATTAGTTTAAGTGAGGCCTATATCACTGCGGCCTCATCAGGCTTATTTAAGGCCAATGCAACGTGAGGGAAAATTCTCGCTTGGGTTTGAGTTTTGCCCCGAGTCTAATGAAGGTAAAGCAATCCAACCGATGAAAAACGCTGCGTCAACTCCAAGAAACAGCTAACACGTCTCTACACTATGCTGGGAAGCAGAGGAATAAAACAATGGTTAATATTCCTTCTCATTCCTACTCCAGTGAGCACATAAGAGGAGCTTATACTGTATTAGCTCTGTGCACATCCAATGCTGAATTTAACAAGCGTCCAAAGAGTTCCATCAGACACGCGTGGCTTGATCCAATTTCTGAGCATTTTTTTGCAAAGAGGCCTATCGGCACAGACGTGTCCCACACCCGTGGTCATTACTAAGCGGTGAAATGGGCATTAAATATACACGCTTCATTTGTACACAGCTACGTGCCCTAACAGGAAATAAATGTGTCAGCCTCTCTCGTTCTGAGTCGGCACACCATTAGGTCTTGTAAACTTTCAGTTCAGATGCAAAATCAGCCGGGGCTAAAGTGACCTGAAAGTTACTGACATTGCCAGCAGCAGAAAGTCCCACAACGGCAGAGAATTTAAATGTTAATATGTGTGTGTGTGTGTGTGTGTGCTTGTGTTGGGGACATGTATTAGTAAATGCTGATGAAGCACATTTGTATATGCAAATTTAATCAAATGTGAGGAAAAGCTACTTTAAAAAGAAAAGGCAAACAGACATTTTGGAGAAGATTCATAAATCAACTGCCTGATTAAAGCTATGCCAACAAAATACTGCAATAATTAATCCAAAAGTCTTTGCAGCAGTTTTTACTTTATATGTCTGTCTTTTTACACCAGAGTTCAAACTATTACGCTCAGGGGTTATTGTAAATAAGTATAACACTTTTAGAGATTTTAGAGCTTTTATGCAGAGTTGTGAACTGTGTAGTCTACAAAAGTCTGGATAAGCATCCATTCATACAAACTTCGATAAAAGGCCGGTGATGGTAACATATTAGAAACTACCAACCAAGTTCCACTTCATCAAATTGCCAGTTTCCCATTGGAAACTCATCAATAGCTCAAGACATTTGCTTTGGCACACTCACCTGAACACTTCCTTTTCTGTTGTCTCTTCTTCGTCAAAATTGTCATCTATTTATGATAAAGAGATTAGCACAAGACTTGTGTTTTCACATGAAAACAGCCAGATGTTGTACATAGATTAAAGTTGAAGAAGTTTGTAGTTAATTAATTCTATAAAGCCTCCTCTATTATATTTGATACACAAATTTCTATGGCCTCTAAATGATCAATGACTACGTTTTCAAGCTGTCGATATTCGGGTTATGGTCGGGTTAAGGTCACTATTCGGGTTTCTGAAACATTCGGAATAACCCGTTTACATGCGTGAGCAGAGAGAGTCACTCATGTATTATTTGTAATCAATTGGCAATATCCCGATGTAAACGGCGACGCTCGGTTATCCGTCTGGACGTACGGACAACCTTAAGACGCTATATGCGTCATTTCCGATTCTTCTTCCTGTATCCAAAGACAACAACAACAGCAGCAGCAACATACATGGTTTTCACCACACTAATAAAGAAATTGGTTTCCTCCTCGCTCCAAAAGTATGGTGCTGTGCTGCGTCTCGCCATGTTTACCTCTACTTTTTGTTTACTTCCGGTATACTGCACGCGGGTTTTTGTGGCGCATACAAGAAGTTCCTCTACTCAAAAGACCAAGATTCCTTGCGAATAGAACATGCACAGAACACAAATCAATGTTCCTTTTGATGGAGATATGCCGATACACGTTTACATGACCAAATATTCGGGTTAGAAAAGGGGTAACCCAGGGATCATATTCGGGTTTTTAAAAAGCGGAATATGAGCATATTCGGGATTTTGCCGGTGTTTACATGGCCGTGCGCGACCGGGTTATTGCTAATATTCCGGTTTTGAACGGGTTATTGGCTGCTTGTAAACGTAGTCACTGTAATCAATACTTTGCTGAAAAACCTGCTGTACACAATCTACCACATGTCTTCTGCCAACTGATTGATAGTTTGTATTTTTAGCAAGTAAAAGTAAAATTCTAAAAACAACCCCATACAGTTCATGGTACATGTGTGTTTTTGCTGTGAAATCTGATACTGATTTTTGTTTAAGAAAAGCTTTTATATCGTGAGTAACATTTTTGAAAGTGAGTATCAAATATAAGAGATCAGTCTGCGTTTCCTAAAAGCATCATAATAAGCCTAAGTTGATCGTAGAGACCATTGGTGCCAATTGTTCTACGATCAAGGGTTGCGATGATTTTGGGAAATGCAGCCCAGATCTCTCAATAATCAATGTATTGCACTGAATGATATGTCACATATACCTCCCACAACAAAAACTACAGAGCTTTGATCATAAAACTAAGCATTTTAATATCGTCTCTTACTAAATATTATTGATAGAGAGAGTGACAACTGACATTTATATGCATGTTATGCAAGTAGTAGCCTAGTCTGTAATAACTATCTCTTTACATTACAAGCCAATAATTTCATCTTTTGGCCATAATATACATCAGCAACTGTATGGAATTATTTTTGTGCCAATAAAAATGAACGTAACTTTTCAAGAAATCAATGAAAATATAAATTGAAACTGAATAAAATATCTTTGAAACTGAAAAAGAATGAATCGCAGGCAATTTTTTTTTACTTTGTTTTTAATACACTGCATGTTTTGCTAACTATTCCTCATATTTCTTTTACTGATCTAAACTTACAAATGCGCTTCAAGAGTTTTCATTTACGCTTCTTAAGTTTTCGTTTGCTTCTGAAGTTTTCGTTTACGCTTCTGAAGTTTTCGTTTACGCTCCTTGAGTTTTCGTTCGCTGTTCTGACACAATTCTCTCGTGGGGGCGGGGCTAGTAGCAGTGTGTTCTCATTGGTTATTGAGTTTTTGATTGACAGCTTTCTTGACCTGGAAGTGAAGACGTCAGTGTTGTGTTTACATGTGTGGATGTGAGCGTCTGTAAGCGCAGCTTTCTATTTCATTTAGGTGATATTAAGTTTATATCTGTATTTATTTACTGCTACACTATATTGTTGAGATGATTTCTTATAGAAGGAATAGTACAGACAAATGATATAATTTGTCATCGTCGATATCAGAATACTGGATAGCCTACTCGTGGTAAGTCAGATTAAAAAAAAAAAATTTTTATTAATTAATACTAAACTAATACTATTTATAATACAGTACTTGCTTTTTCAGGTGGAGAGGCATATTAGAGCTCAGTGAGAGCCCATAACATTATACAGCAGTGTCGTCTTGATTTAATTGGTAAGTTAACCCAATCATTACATGACTTGTTTATCTAACGTTACATAAGGTTACATTCATATTTCCCCCCTGCCACCCCAAACAACATTGGGCTAGAGTACTGTACAGTATCTGTACTGTAGCCTACAGTACAAAAAGTACTGTATCAGACAATGACCGATGCCATTGGACCAGAGCGCTGTCAATCACTGCCCGATTCAACTTTAGCAATGTAAAGCCAATTGCTGATTAATTTGCGATGCAGAGTTTTTAAAAGAGTAGAGACAGGACTTGACCACATTCCACGTCTCTATTCATAATATGTAAACACTCAATTATTTTGAAGTATTACCCTGGGCGCAATATTTATTCTGCAAAATGCAACAAAATGCTTTTTCTGTGTCCATATTTGAGCAATAATAATGCAAAAAAAAAAAAAAAAAACAGTTCGGAGAAAAATGTAAAATTTTTAATTTTAATTTTATTATAGTCTTTAATAATAAATATATGTCCAAATGCAAAACCTAATACATGCAAGTAATTATGACTGAAAACATCCAGCAACTAGGGAATACACAGCCATGGATAAATGTTTATAGGGCTATACAGCCATCTACTGGTTACACAACAGTATTACAGATGATAAATGGTGCATGACTCAGGGGGTAAATATTTAGTACTGTAAAATCCCTTAAAACATTTATATAATTTGTTTGAAATAATTATTTTAAGTCTGCAACTTGTTACTGCATGTGGATGTTCAAAGCAGTTTGTATTGTTAGATTATAATACATTTCCTTTCTCACTTTCCAGGGAGTTGAGCAACTTTTCCATAAACAAAATTCTGATGCTGACACAGAGGATGGAGTGATAATACCAGAGATCAACTGTCTCCATCAGACAATAATCTTACTTTGTTCAGACATATCAGCTTTGAATGACTGGGATCCTGATCTTCAGACACCTGATGTATTTTATTTTAATATTATAAAATAGCAAATATTTTAATTTCTTTGGAGCTCTAGATTAAAACAAACACAGTTTACAAGTACACAAGAGGTTGCAGTTTATTCTTATTAGTCTATGCTGATCATGGATTAGCATACCAACAGCATATGAATGGGATAGTTCACCCAAAAATAAAATTCTCACTTATTTTACTCACCCTCATGCTGTCCCAGATGCATTTTACTTTCTTTCTACAGATAAATACGAATTAAGATTTTAAGGAAAGTAATCCATCTCTGCGAGTCCTAAAGATGCTTTAAAAACCACACACAGTGACCGTGATGTCCATGCGACCTCAGTGGATGAATCAATGCCTTCTGAAGTGAAACAATAGGATAAGAAAAATACTAATAATGTAAACTGTTTTAACTATTAAAAATCACTTCTGACCAACTGTCATACATGGGTTACAATCCACTTGTCTTATATGGACTCACAGAGATAAAAATCTTTGTAATGATGCATTTTGTATGTATATTATGAGAATACTGTGCATTACATGTATAGTATGCAGTTAATGTTTTGTGGCTTCTGGTCTTTCCTGTCACAACATAATCGCATCCAAGACTTTCACTTTGATACTTGTGTATATGCTGTAGTGACAATAACGAATGTAAATTTATTATTTTATTTAAATTAATTTAACTGATTTTATAAGTCATAATTGAACCTGTTGATGATTGTTCAAATATATTTACAATTTTAAATGATAGAAGATAATATTAACTAAATGAAATAAATAAAATTATCAGCATGATTAAAAAAATGGCAACAAAAATATTCTTTGTGTGAAATATGTAATGAAATGCCCTTTGAGGTCTGTATCATCTGACAGCAAGCCACGATTGTAATTGTCATAGTTTAAATTCCTCTTATTTAAGTGATCATACATTTTGATGGTGTAAATGCATATGGTAACAATGAGAAATTTGATGGCCATGGTTGCCAACCTTGATTACCTGGTTGAAGTGAAACTTTCTTGACGGCTGAATATATCACACACGTATACTAGTAGGCTATTCTCTTTAAATTGTAATAGCACAACCTAATCAGAGCCTAACATGCAAAAGAAACATCAGGAATAAACAAATATTCTCCTAAAACATTGAACACAATATTTTAAGTAACTTTGATGTACAATTACACCTGAATAGACTGAAGAGATCTCTTGCGCTCCTAAAAGTTTCTGTTGACAAAGTAGTAGCAGCAGCAGGTAAATACAGATAAAATTCAAAAACAAGCATAACTTAATATCACTAAAATTAAATAGAAAGCTGCGCTTACAGACTCTCACATCCACACAAGTAAACACAACACTGACGTCTTCACTTCCAGGTCAAGAAGCTGTCAATCAAAAACTCAGTAGCTAATGAGAACACACTGCTCTAGCCCCGCCCCCTCGAGAGAATTGTGTCAGAACAGCGAACGAAAACTCAGGGAGCGTAAACGAAAACTTCAGAAGCGTAAATGAAAACTTAAGAAGCGTAAATGAAAACTCTTGAAGCGCATTTGTAAGTTTAGATCAGTAAAAGAAATATGAGGAATAGTTAGCAAAACATGCAGTGTATTAAAAACAAAGTAAAAAAAATTGCTTGCGATTCATTCTTTTTCAGTTTCAAAGATATTTTATTCAATTTCAATTTATATTTTCATTAGTTTCTTGAAAAGTTACGTTCATTATTATCGGCACAAAAATAATTCCATACAACTGCATGATACTAAAAAACAAAAACAAAACAAAAAACACACACAGTCAAAAGACTGAGGGACTTGAATCAAAAAAGTTATCAGATGGTGGAATCAATTTCATAATGTAAAATGCAGCCAGTTTAAGAATGGACAAATTTAAGACCATTTTAAAACCTGATATTCAGAACGTAATATCTCTACATTAGATTATATTGATTTATTCTTCACTCTGATTCCTCTAAATTGAACATGATATTTGTCATGACCTATGCCATATTTTACATGGGAAATTAATTAACAAATAAAACAAACAAATAAATAACCAAATAAGAGTTTAAAATGACCTGACCAACTGCTTTTAAATGTAGCAGCACTTACATCATGTTATGTTAGGTGAGTAAATGTATTTATGCCATTTCTCTGTAGGGTAGATTTGAAAGTAAATGTTACGAAAAGCGTGCAGCTGGATAAATAACGGTCTCTCTCTGTTGTAATAAACTTAGGGTCGGATGGATCCCTGATTAACAACGTATGCTTTTGGTTTGGTAGATGTTGGTCAGGTGCTTATTTTCATCTCATCACGAGGACGCTTGATTGGATTGCCTTCAGTCAGTTTTAAAGTTTGATCGTCCGTTTGTTTATTTCTCACCTCCATAAAGCCAGTCAGTCTCGTCATCAGTGCTCTCGTCAGCTGTTTTCTCTACCTCTCGTGTGGACATGATCACCTCCAGGTTTTTGCGCTTTGATTTGAGAGATCAGAGGCTCAGTTTAACTTCACGTAGTGTGATAATAGTTTCAGGGGTTACTGTCACAGCTGCCACAGTAGTGACACGCCGCGTGCTGGTGTAGCAGGTGCGCGTTACCAAAGAGACGCAGCTCACTCCACTGCACGCGCACGTGTGCAGGACCGCAGGAAGTTCAGCATCACAAATTAAAAGCGGAATGTTTGTTTGTTTGTTTATTTATTTATCTATTTATTTATTTATGTATGTATGGAAAAACGCGAGCTCACTTCACTATTTAAACCTTTTTTATAACTGACAAATCCTTTCCTTTATTCTTTATTCTTACCTTTTAATGTGTTACAATATTTTAAACAATGAACATATAATCAAAGGCAACCATGTAGAAAAGGCAGGCAATTTTCATGTATATAATATACCATCATATTTCACTTTTCAAAACTCCCAGCTGATTGCTACACCATGACGCATAACTACCGCGACGCCTCTGCGCCACGTCACCTTTGAGAGACTCACATGGGTTTGTTTTGAATGGTGCCTGTTTGACAGTTCTGCTGTTGTTTTCGTTCATTTCAATTTAAAACGCAAGCATTTGCGGAAATATGTTGCCCACGGATGGTGTCGTGTGTTTCCCCGGTCAGACGTGGGAAAAAGTGCTATCAAAAGTAAAAAAGGCTGTTGTTTTTATGGATGATCGGTGTTCGGAGAGTCTGCACTGGAACGGAGGAGCTGCGCTTCTGTTTGAGGCTGGAGCTCGAAACATCAAACAGTTCTCAAGCTTTGAAGCAGGTGGACAGAATGAACCCAAAGCTGTGTTTGTGGTCAGCACCGTGCTGAAAGGTAGAACCACAGACATTATCAAAGACATCATATCCCTCAGTCACTTCCAGTACTGTGTGGTGTTCACAACTGTTCCTCACTTCCTTCACCTGCTTGCGAATAATGTGACCGTTGATCTGGAGAGGAACCCGGTGTTTGAGCAGTTTGAAGAGAAACTGTGTGAGTGGATGGGTGATATGAACTATACTTCTGAGGTCATGTATGCTCCTGTGGTCTTCGCCCCTCTGACGCAGCACCTTCAACTTTTGCCTGCTTTCTCTGAAATCTTCCCTTTATTGGAAGTTGATCTTCAGTCCATCAACGAGAAGAGGCCGGAGAAAAAACGATTTGGGAGTCTGATGGATGTGGATATGCACTCTCTCCCACCTGAGCTGCAGATTCAGATTAAAGCTCTGGCTTCGGCCCTCAACACCCTGTTTGAGTTCATCAGTACCCGTGAGGAGAGCTTTTCGGTGGGTCCGATGAGCCGTCTGATCGCAGGGGAGCTAGCCAATCACCCACAGGCCAAAAACAGGAGGAAGGCGGCCCACAATAAAGCATCAGTGGTGTTTGTTGATAGAACCCTTGATCTTACAGGTGTGGTCTAATGTGTCTAAATACTCAATCATTGGTACTCAAGGCAAGGCACTACAGGGGAAAAAAACATAGATTTTTCATGGATTGGTCTTCTTTCAGACTAGTGAAAGAAAAATACACATTTAAGTGTTTATTTTATTAAAACGTATCTATTTGTATCTTTAGTATAAAAAAAAAATACCTTACAGAGCTATGTAGGCTATTTTCTCAAAATGTTTTTTTTTTTCATGCACTGAGCCAGAAATCTCCTTTAGTAACACTTGTCTACACCAAATTATCTATATTCTATAGGGGTTTACAGAGGGGTTCATTTGTATATAATCTGCTTGATTTGTAACATTTCATTGGTAAAATATGGTGACTTTTTCTTGCTGTTAAAAGTATTTATGGGGTGATAAATATAGATATCCAAATGGCCTGTGTAAAAACCTTAAACTCTAATATGCCAGCAAAATAAAACAAGAATTTTGAACCTGGCTTTTCCATGTAGATTTCTATTCTAAGCCTATTTGGATATTTAAACATAACATAACGAAACTTGTAAGACAAAACAATTATCTTAATGTACTCAGCTGGGGTAGTATAGTAAAACTTATTACCAGTGGTGTCTTGCCTTATGACTTGTTCTAATTCTATGTCCTTTCAAAACTTACTTACTTTTTCATGTTTCTCTTATTTCCCAATCTATAGGGGCTGTTGGCCATCATGGTGACAATCTGGTTGAGAAAATCCTGTCAGTGTTACCACAGTTGCCAGGTCATGTGACTGATGTTCAGGTGGACATGTTGGAGCTCACACACCTAAAGCAGACAACTGATACAAATGGCATTTTGGCACCAGGCTGCTTAGCACAGAACCAGTAAGTCTTTTTGTTGCTGTTGTTGTTTTTTAATAGAAAACACCCAAAAGCACTCTTGTAAAGACCATGCAAAGAACATGCAATGAGTGCATATTCACATTGTGGTGAAAAATTTTTTTATATATCTTGATTACTTTTTTAATTGTCTCACAAGCATTTTAATTTTTAATTAAGCGTTTTCAATTAAATTATTACATGTTCGTGATGGGCTGGTTATAATATTAACGGATTTAAGGTATTAAGATGCAGGTTCAGACCTATGGTTTGATCTAGGAGCCGATTGGAACGGAATAGCATTGTACTGAAGGGGATAGTTCACCCCAAAAATGAAAATGCTGTCATTATTTACTCACCCCCATTTCACTCAAAGCCTGTATAACATTCTTTCTTCTGTTGAACACAAAAGATGTTTTCAAAAGTGTTTTTGTTCCATAGAATGAAAGTCAGTAGGGTCTAATATTGTTTTTTTGACCCCGCTGACTTTAAAAATATCCACAGAAAAAAAAGAGTCATACAGGTTTTAAACATGAGGGTGAGTAAATAATATCAGAGTTGTCTTTTTGGGGTGAATTATCCATTTAAGAGGAAAATATGTAAAGTTACTCCAAGGTACCAAAATTTCAGATTTTTAATTTTATTTTTATAAATACTTACCGGTAAATATTTTATTTAACCATTTGCAATGTTATATATACGATGCACATTGCACATACATAATTTAAACATAGCTTAAAAAAGTAAAAGTAAACAGTATTAAAATGCAAAAATATTAAAATGCAGTAGTACTTGTTTTTTTGTCATTATTTCTGTTTGCTCAATTTTAAGGACATAATAGGCTGTGGCAGGGGCATATAAACATCAGACTTCTTGACCTGTCTGTCTGATAGTTTTGTCATCACTGGTGTAAAGGGAATGTCCCTACTGTAGCTTGGTTTAGACCAAAAACCTCAGTGCTGGTAAAGGATTCGAGAAATGTGGCTGTTCTCAAAGTCTGTCTGCTCACAGAAGGAAAAATCTGAGGAAACCATGAGACTTGGTTCCCCACATGTTGGCACGGGAACAATGCCCAGCCAAGTGTTTTTAATGGAGAACTACCATTTCTTTAGTCATCATAAATGTGTGTATTTGAATAACTAAACGGGTTTGCTTGAGTTTTTGCCGATGTCATTTCCCACGGGGCGGGATGTGGTAATGAATGACCCCAAATTTCTGCTGTTCTGTGTGATATTGTCGTGCTGCTCAATTGTTTTAACGCTCATTTGGTGAACTCGCTCACTTTCTGAATGTAAAATAATGTTTTTCCCAAAAGAACCCAGTCATGGTTTTTGATGGGATTTTTTTGCTTAATATATGCCCTTTTGTTCAACTCAGTCATGAGTGAAATCATCAACTGTCATAATTTTTGGTGTAATAACCACCATATAACCTTGCTGGCAGATGATTGTGTGGTGATAGTCATAATATTCTCTTGATACAAGACTTTTTTTGAAGCAAGTTGTGTCAATGTCAAAACTGAACCTACTTCATCTGGAAAGTCAAATGGCATCAGTATGGAAACCCAAACGCTGTTTACGACCCATTAGGTCTAAACCACTAGTTAGACGTGAGGTTTTGTTAAAGAGGAACTTGTTTCGTATGTCTGTTTTCTTTCCAGATCCCATCAGACAGGGATTCAGGGAGCACATGTCCATGGAAAGAATTCAACTCCAGAGCGATTGAGTTAATGGGACAGGAACTCCTCTATGAGCTAATGATGCCAATGAATAAACCAGTTTCACCTTCATTCCATGCAGCCAAAGCTGCCAGATTGATCTAGTCTCCATTGCGGGCTCCCATTGTGACTATTTGTCATCTCAACCAGTGTTGATGGAGAGCATTGAAGCTGCTGTTTTACCTACACACACAGATGAATACCATATTCCAAGACCACATCCCTTTACCGCCATTAGCTGGTTACAGTAGCACCGCAGTCCTGAGTACAAACACACTCTTGAGACCTCCATGTAAATATACAAGCGCTTACTGTTAGCCAGATGGTGTGGAGACTGAATGGGACAACTCTCCGTTTGAAGAGCTTTCTGTCACTGGATGTGTGTGTGTAAAAGTCTATTTACAGGCTATAGAATTGGTTTTCATTGTGTTGCCATATTTCACACATTTGTAGCATTTTATTTTTGCCCTGATGGCCACTTCTAATGATAACCTGTGTTTTTTTGTTTTTTTTTGCAACGGGAACAATCAGAATTTAGTGTCATGCAATCATTCTCATGCCCTTCGCTAAATCTTTTACAAAACATGAACTGGTCAACACAAAATGACTGAAGAGATTATTTTAATGAGATGCAGTATTTATTATAAGTCTATGCAAATGTTGGCCTTATGTGAAAATGCCTTTTGCTTGGCTGATCATGTCCTTGACTAGAGCAGCGTGAGCACAGGGAATTGCCTGACAGGCTTGGCACATTTCTCCTAAGGACTATAAAAAAACATGCTCTGATCCCAAATAAGCTTAATCGTGCTTCCAAATGCAGAGATTTTGTACCTGACAGTCTAGATTCACTCGTCACTGTATTTAAGCCACCGTATATATGGAGAGTATAATCCATGCAGGTTTTTAAAATGTTGAATGTGGAATAACGACAGTAGAGTATCCGCAGATACCACTTGATCTTTCTTTGGTTCATCAGAATTATATTATGTTCATGGACCAAACTTCACCAAACTTTCCTTTTGTCTGTTTTACATATG